GTAAAGCACTGGCACGCTAGGCCCAGTTCTGGCCATTGTCACTAATTGGAAATGAGCTACTCTACTCCTCCTCCAGCGCCTGCAAACGAGGCACAAAACAGACAAACAGACCGACAGAAAGTGAGTTGTCACACACAGTGTTGGGGAGTAGCGTAATACGCTGTTACGTATTTAAAATGCAAAATATGAGTAACTGCATTCCGTTACAGTTACCATCTAAAAAGGTGGTATTTAGAATACCAGTGTGGGTTGTCACACTATCCAAAGTTCATGGGCAGGGGAGGTTATCCCAGCCTGCTTCAGGCTATTAAACAATGCAGCCTGAAATAGCACTGACCAGAGCTAACACAGCTTAGAATCACCATTTAACTTAACTTGCACATTGTCAGCCTGCTGGAGGAAGCTGAAGTACCTGAGTAAACAGATGCAGGAATAGGTTGAACGCGTGAGATGGCACTGTAAGTCACTGATTAAGCACATCTAATAAAAGTAAAAATGATTTAAGATAAATGTTCTTCTCCTCCTGCTCATCTGGGGGAACATCAGTGGTTTCCCAGGCCATCCAAGAGACATAATCTCTTATTTTTTATATTTTTAAATGTTACCACTGTTTAATTTACACAATATTTTTTTATTATTTCACTTGAAATCTGTAAAATTTTTATAAAAGCTTTATGTGTAATCTGCTGTAGTGGAAGCATCAGTTTCAAACAAACTGATTTCTAACAGATGGAGAAGTTGGAGGTTTTCTTTTTTTAGTTTTTCCTGATCAGGCCCACCTCCCTGGTGGATTTTCTTTGTTTAGGGTTTTTTGGGATATCCCGTCTAACACATGACTAATTAATGTGAAAGCCTCTGTTAAAATCTGACAAGAGCGATGTTTTTACTATTCATCATGTGGTGTGCTAAACCAAATGTGAATTGTGCTAACATGTGAGATTTTCAATTATTTTGAGCAAAGTATTTCAAAACATTACTCTAATACAGGGGTGGGGGACTCTAGCCCCCGAGGGCCGGTGTCCTGCATGTTTTAGATGTGTCCTTGATCCAACACAGCTGATTTAAATGGTTAAATTACGTCCTCAACATGTCTTGAAGTTCTCCAGAGGCCTGGTAATGGACTAATCATTTGATTCAGGTGTGGTGACGCAGACTGATATCTAAAATCTGCAAGACACCAGTCCTTATTCACTATAATACCTAACAGTAACCCTGACACTAAAACCACATTTTGAAAGTCAAAATGCCTTCAAACTCATGGGAACAGGCATTTTGTCCCTATGAGGGACAGTTGGTCCCAAACAATGTAATAACATTCAATTTTTTGGTCCTCACAAATATATCCAAACAATGGTATGCACACATACACAAACCATTCGCTCACTTTCACATATCCACTAATGAAACACAAAGAGATATAACCCAACCCCCCAATGGTCAAAGCAAATCAAAAGCAGAGAGGTGTCAGGCCTTCACAAAAAAGACCTCACCGGTACAGCTGAACCACTGTGTTTGTGTTTAGTGCGAATGCAAGTCACTTTATTCCAAAAGAAAGAAATAACTGTTTGCCTTTTTTTTAGTTTCTTTGAAGAGGAAACCACTGAAACACACTATCAGTCAGGAAGAAGGAGGGTTTTGTTACCTAACGTGACTGTGAATTGTTGGTAGACTTGATTGATGTCATCAAGGAGCACAATGAAGGGACTGACTCCAGTCTGGCTGATCTGTAAGTACACTTTTTTATTTCAACTGTGGGCTAAGATTTGACATTAATCTTTTAGATTTTATTGAATTTTCAAGAATTGTATTAGGATGAAGCTGCAGTTTGGCAATGCAGCGCTACAGAATGACAGAATCTGAATGGCCTTGTGACTCGTAGCTGCAAAAAAATGGTTAAAAAGGATAAACATTTTCTACAATGTTTATTACAAGGTAATAACTTCTTTGGGTTAAGGCGTTTTAAAGTTTTTGGAAGCAGACATATTCAGTGAAGGTGACTAAAAGGAGTCAACATTATGATGGATGATGAGCCATAGAAGGTTGTGAAAAGGGGAGACTTTAAGGGAATTTTTTACTGTTCCCATTTTTTTTAAAGTATTTTAAAAGTATAAACACAAATACAAAGGACACAGAACCAAATATTACTACTGGGCACTCACTACATATTGAGCAAATAAAGGAACAGCAAAGTGTTCAGTCCTTTTATCTTATAAGTCTGTAAAAAGCAACAAGTAGATGTAGAGTGCAACAAAAGGAGACACTGTCTGCATTTTTTCTATTGCATGCCTGTTGTATAGATATATTAGTGCATGGTTTGCTAGTTCCTGTGCTTATTTGACCAACCAACCATCAGTGCATGTTTCCCACACTCTATGAAACCATAAACTAACCAGACCCTCTTTATTTGCAGTGTCAATCTCAATGCTGAGCTGCACAACGAAGCGAGGTCTGTAAATGTTTTCTATTACAGTTTAAAGAGTTCATTTCCATAATAATTATTTATCTTTTTCCCGGGTCTTGGTACAGCCCCCTTGTTCATCCTCTAAATGAAAAAAGCTTTTTAACTTCTCCCCTATTTAAGTGACTTTCCTTTAAAATTCCTGCCCTTAACAAACAGAAGCTTAGAAAAGTTAGTAGATGCGCCTTCGGTGTCCAAGATGACCATAATTGGGATATCCCGTTACTGTGGAAACCCAGAAAAGCAAGAATAGAACAAAACTGTTTCAAGCATTCAGCAACCTGAGCTTCTGCAGTACAGAGTAAGAGATGACAGATAATAAGTAAATTAATCTTTCTAAAAATAATTTAAAAAAAAACTATAATAGAAAAACATGGTTTTTAGGTCATTTTTCATTTTAGCATTGAAGGTGCTTGTTTTAATGCAATTTGCTATTTTATTTAACCTCCTAAGACCCGAACTCTTTGATATTTGGGCATATTGGGGCCCGATAAATGTAAAAACAAAGAATTACCAGATTTTTTTTTACCTGATTTTGTTTCTAAGAAAAATGAGAGCCACAAATGAGGATATTAGTTTCAAATTTTGATAGAACAGTAGCAGTATAATGTCCTCATAAGTGGACATCAGGCCCTTGTAGAGCAAAATTTAGTATTTGGTCTAAATGACCCAAAATATGATGTCCACATATGTGGATGCCAGGTCCTAGGAGGTTAAAGCAACTTCATGACACTTGGAAAATAGGGTAGAACAGTTAATCAGATTTTATTTTTTGTTATAATTTTGGGTTTCAATGAGTTTTTAAATCAGTGGTATGATCTTTTTTTTGGGGGGGGGGATTATTAATTTAAAAACCCCTCAATTCTTAGTTGACAATTATATTGGCGATCAGGGAGGGAGTACCTTGCACTCCCCAATTTCTTTCCTTCTCCCTCTCTTGTACACCACCCCACATGCAGGGCCTTGAGGTACAGGTGCATAACTGAGGTGCATGATCGGCAGCGGTCTGCTTGTCTCCAACCCAGAGTAAGGGAAACCATCTCCTGGGTCTGGCAGTAGATTGCCCCTCTTGAGGTGATGGTGCCTGAAGGGGCTTGGGTTACTCTGGTGTAGCCGGCTGCTGGCGGAGCCTGCAGGCTTGTCAGCACGGCGTGCTGTGGCTTCTGCACTGTTACTTATGTTTACGTTTGCTGTTGCTTTGGTTTCCCTACTGTGTTGTCTTCTTTTTAGTCAGATTTGTCAGATTTTAAGTCCTTTTTCTCTCTATTTTTCTTCTTTATTTTTCCTTTTCCTCGCCTTCTGTTAAAACTCTTCCCAGCTTCTCTTTCGTTCTTCTTCCGGATACCCGATCCTGTCCATTCTGATGGTGATAACTTAAAAATAATAATAACAATTGAATAAACTATGCCAATCAAGTGGGACAGTATAGTGAAAGCTCCAGTTGGGAAAATATATCTATTGGGCATTTTTCTTGGCCTTCAGACTTATTCTGATTGGTACAGTGCCGGACAGGACAGGAAAAAAAAATAGCACATTGGCTTCATTTTTCAGCTACTAAGGGTGTCCTTCAAGTCCAAGTCCCAGGTGTCCTGGACATGTATTTATACTAGAGATGGCACGATACCAATTTTTTATGTCCGATACCGATGTTGTTCAGACGCTGGTTTCCTCTTTCTGGTGCAAAGTGGGCCAAAAACGAAGTAGAGAGAGGGACTAGCGACAGAAAAGCCGATCAGCTGATCATTGATCAGTTTCATGATTGAAGTAGCAGCAAGAAGAGGCAGTCGCTCCATATATCGGTTGTTAAGCTTAATGTGGGAATGCTTTACAAACATTCTGAGATGGACTTAAACACTTGCTTTACTTCTCTCTGGGAAAACTTTCTCGGAGATGAAATGCCGGGTTGGTAGGACACAGCCGCTCTATCACGTGACGCATACTCATGAGCTGAGTTACGCCATGTCGCAAGTTTTCTGAGGTGCTTTTGTGATATTTAATGGATCGGATTACATTTTTAATTTCTCTCCGATATCCGATCCAGTAATTTAGGTCAGTATTGGACCGATACCGATACGTAATATCGGATTGGTCCATCTCTAATTTATACCTCCATTTATTTATTTGTTTATATTTTAATTACACTTTGAGTTCAAGTATTCATGTACAAAAAATAAAAATAAATGATTTTTTGTTAATCCAATTCAATTTAATATAAATATCCAAGAATCCAATAATAATAAATATCCAAGCCAAATCACAACTGTCCCTCCATGGGTCTAGATGAGAAGCCCTCAGTAGTGTTATAAACCAGGCATAGCATGAAGGTGGCATGCTCACACACACGTAAGGAAGTTTTTACTTTATGCTTTACTTTTGCTTTATGTACAGAAAACGGTGAGTAAATGAAAAAAAAGAAAAGAAAAAGAAAACAGGGAACACACAGGAGCCAGAGGAAGCGGGAACAGTGTAAAAGGGAGGCTGCTCTGAGAAGCCATGATTGGGGCCACAGTAGTCTGTAACAGAGGAAAAATAGACTAAAAAACCAGTAAGGAGGCAGGTAAGTCAGGCTGAGGCTTACATGCAGGGCCGGGCCAGGCCTAGGAGCCACAGCGGTGGTTCTGTGGGAGGATCTGAAGAGCGAGTGTGAAGAGGAGAATGATCTCTGGGGCACCCACAAATGTTGGGATGACAGGAGGACAGGCAGGCGGAGCGACTGATTGATGAAATCCTTAGTAAAAACGGCAAGCAGAGAATCCAGAGCAGAGTATTGTGGAGACCCAAGCACAAAGAAGCGGGGTTAAATTCAAGCTGGGAATCAGAGGAACAAACAGACCGCAGACAGGGCCTAGTTACCACAGTGAATGACTGAACAAACTGGCTTAAATAGTTCAATGATTGACCCAGGATGAGGCTCAGGTGTGAGGTAGGCAGCTCCACCCAGGTGGTAATCAATCTGATGATGAAACTCTCCTCAAAGCTGCTCCCATGGACAATGACAAACAGTCTATTACATGATAACTAAAGGAGGATTTAGAGTCACCTGATTGAACCCAAAGTATATGGTTTGTCAAAAAGGAAAGTCTTAAGTCTGATCTTAAAAGTAAAGATAGTATCCCATATGGAAAAGATATATATAAATCTTATAAAGTTTGTATCTGTCTTGTATGAAACTTGTATGAAAAGCATACACGAGTGAAAACACATATAAGATCCCTTGAAAAATTATATAATGAAACTTGTATGTTTTGGATACTTACTAAAAAAATATATGAAAGCAATGAGAAAGTGGCCACTGTCATGAGTAAATCATATATGTTTTTACTATTTCTTTTTCATATGGGATATGTCTCCCAAATCCAACTGGGAACTGGTTACACTTAATATTCATGTATGTAATGATCCGAAAGCTGAAGGCTTTGCCTCCCATTTGAATAATGGTTACTGTAAGTAAGCATTAGCAAGTAATTAGTAAGCAATTAATAAGTTAATAATAATAATAAGTTAATAATAATTAGTAAGCATTAGTAATTAAGCATTAGTGTCGATACCATTGTACAATATTTGGATTAATCCCCCCACTTCTGCTATCCAATTACTTTAGATAGCAGAGATAACAAATGCAAGACAGAATAAATAATTCAAAAAATACACAAGAGGATGTATGATAAATGGGTGTTCAACATATTAAGGATATTTTTCAAATAGAACTGACTACTGAGGGTATTTTGCTATTACCACAATTTTGTTTTGTTAAAAATGTATTGTTATCATCCCCTCTCCCTCACAGCTCGTCTGACTGTGAGTCCCAGCAGCTCTCAGTTCTTTAAAGATGATTCTGTTTCTCTGAGCTGTGAGGAGGACGACAGCTCTGCTGGATGGACTCTGAGGAGAAACACAAGCAAAGAAACCAAGACCCAGTGTGGAGCTGAGTGGGGAAAATCAGCTGGTTCTTCCTGTAGCTTCAGCTACATCTTAACACAGGACAGTGGAGTTTACTGGTGTGAGTCCAGAGAGGGTCCCATCAGTACCATGGTTAACCTGACAGTCACTGGTAAGCTGAGTGTGTGGAGTTAGTGTTGATGAAGCTCTGTGTAAATGGATGAAATGCTGTAGTTTGTCTCTGTGTTGAGGTGGATCAGTGATCCTGCAGAGTCCTGTCCTCCCTGTGATGGAGGGAGATGACGTCACTCTGCTCTGTAAAACAGAGACCACTCCCTCCAACCTCCCAGCTGCTTTCTATAAAGATGGCTCCCTCATCAGCAATGGGTCTTCAGTTAACATGACCATCCAGCATGTTTCCAGGTCTGATGAAGGCCTCTACAAGTGTGACATCAGCGGTCATGGAGAGTCTCCATCCAGCTGGATCACTGTCACAGGTGAGGAGCTTCACTCTATCATATTGCTTCTTACTTCGTTGAGATAATTCCCTCACAGGTGGAATTCTCTCTACAGGTGGATCTGCAACCAAAAAACCACCCACTTCTGCAGGTTTGCCCTCTGTAACACCCCTCCAGCATTTTGACTTCATACTGATGCGCTACCTGGTGGTTTTTATTCCATACTTCATCTCCACTCTCCTCATGGTGTCTTTATTTCGATACAAAATCACAGGTGACACTCTGAATAAATGTTGATTAGGAACTCCTCTCTATGTGAACTTTTTTACTGATACAGTTTTGTAATGTTTATAGGACATGACCCGTATGTCTCTGTGGTAAAGACCCCATCCACACAGGCTGGAGATGGTTTGGCCAATGACTACGATGATGCCACTACAGTGCATCATTTCTGAATCAGGGCTCATGTTCAGCATCTATGTTGATGTAAAGTTCTTAAATGTTTCTCATTAATTCTTGTCTCACTGACTTTGTCCTCGCCACCTCTGTTGTAGGGATAATTTGAAGAAATGGGCTCTGATGTTCATCTCTGTTTTTTTTTTTTAAATGTAAATCTCCTGCAAAGAGATGGATATATATTGCAGTATTTAACAAACACAAGGCATTGAGCTTTTCCATCTGAAACCTGAAGGTGTTTTGAGATTAGGTGGCAAAAGTTAATATAAATTTCAATATTTAAAAATATTTTCTGAGCATGTGCACACATTTTTTTCATTATTTTCATTTCAAATCAGCTTTTAAAAATGTATTCTTTACTGATACATACACGTTCTTAATATAATATGTAGTTGAAGCTGAAGTCTCAAAATACCAAAACATGGAAAGATTCAAAGTTGTTTTGGTTGATATGAGGATTGATGATAATTAGAAAAAATCATGTACAATAAAAGAAAACTTACTTTTCAATTGAGTCTGTCTGCTTTGCACTTTACTGATAGTCGTGCACTTGTTCTGCTTATCTAAAAGTCATTGTAAATGGTGCAAGCAGAAGAATTATTCCTTATATTCCTCCTTTCTTCAGTTCAGTTTTGTTTATGTCGCCAATGAAGGCACTTTGGAAACAGTGGGAAGGAAAAACTCCCTTTTAACAGGAAGAAACCTCCAACACAACCAGGGTCAGGGAGGGACAGCCATCTGTCATGACTGGTAGAGGTGAAGGGAGGAGGAAAGGAAAAGACATTCAGAATGCAGAGTGGCGTATATTGAGAGAAAAAGCTGACCTAAGAAGAAACACTCAGCTCATCAAGGGAATCCTTCAGCACCCAAGAGCTATTGTAACATAATTAAGGGAGGATTCATGGTCACCTGATCCAGCCCTACCTATATGATTGGGCCACCCTTAGCAGCAATCAAATGAATGAAAACAATGCATTTATTTACAGCAAAAAATAACAACAAGAGTCACAATAATTCGCAGTGTTCTCTGTTTGTCAGTTGCCAGTTCCGTGCAGTGATTTTTCTCAGTGGTCCGTGGTGAACGTTCCACCCTCTCCTGTGTTAATGTACATTAGTGTTCAGTTCTCTCGTTTCCACAATCCTCCTGGAAAAAAGAGAAGCTACATTAAGTACATTCCCAAACACCGTCCAACAGAAACCCTTTCACCTCACGAACGGCAGAACTGTTCATCAAACAATCCACACGCCAACTGTTGCTCGGCTACTCTGGCTGTGTCCCAATCCAGTGACCGCACACTCCGGAGTGCGCATTTTGAGACCTATTACGTCTCCTATTACCTATTACTGATTAAGGTCGACTATCGAACGGTGTATAAAGTAAAGACTTTAAAACAAAGTAAATGCTGAAAGCAGGTGGTGTAGCTCAGACACACACTGACCACATCCTGCCCCACTTTTCACTTCATGCTCAGACTATAACACCAGAGCCTTTATTACCTAAAAGATTCCATGACGTCACTACACCAGAGATGAGTGTAAGGATTGAGGAAAACCAGCTGGTTCTTCCTGTAACCTCACTGCCATCCTGACAGTCATCTCTGAAAAAACTGAACTACAGATTTCACTCAGACTTTAGTTTGCAGCTCATAGTATGGAAATTGCAAAGTGCTAAAAGACTCATTAACACATTCTTAGTATTGAACATACCCTGCAAATTATGCAAGTGCTCTTAAAAGTTTGAGTTAATGCTTTAGTGTTGTGCTCTGAGTGTTTTTTGTTTTGTTTTACTGACCAATAGCTGTCCATGAGCCCAAAATATATTAAACATTACTGAAATAACTTTTTACTGAGTAAAGTGTAACGTCTGGTGAGGCAGACGGCATGGCGTGAGGAGATTGTGGACCCAAATACAGGCATGGAAGCGAAGGCGGATAATAGCAGAAAGGTGTGTTTTTATTCTGACTGTGACAAATACAAAAGGCAAGGACAATTAGAAAGGAAAATAGCAAAACCTATCAAAGCCTGAGACAGAAAATCAAGGAGGAGACACAAAAGAACACAGAGGATGACACACTGGGGCAAAATGGAGGAAAGCACGCAGACAGACCAACGAGGAACAGAGGAAAGCACACACTATGTATACACAAACGAGGTAACAAAATGCACAACAGGAGGGAGGCACAGCTGAACCTAATTAGACAAGACTAGACAGGGGGGAAGCAAAACATAATACATTCTCATAGAACACAGACTGTCAAAGTAAAACGGGAAACACACAAACGTAATGGCAAGAATGACAAGGAAGAGACAGAGAACATAAAGACCTGAAACGTGGGACGGGAAAGGCACAGAGTAGACATAGAAACCAGGATAACATACCACGGAACACAGGGGGAGGCATGTTAACAAAACCTAAAGACTAGAAATCAGTATATACGAAGGAACTTCGGGAGATAGAAATACAAAACAGAAGCCAAGAGACTAGTAATGATGAATCATGATGAAGATTAATAATAATAATACAAAACAAAAAACGCAATAGGTCACCGACCCAGGACCATGAGATAAAGACAGATATAATGTCCATAACCATGGATCAAATGAAAGAAATTCATTAACAACAGTTCCTAGCAGTCTGACTGGACTCAGTCACTGTATAACAAGCTCTCTCATTTATATCTTGATGCATGCTCAGTCATCCAGATAAGTAAATCCCAAAAGGTTCTCTCACTGAAAACGTTACATTCAGATAAATAGAATCAACCTTTTGGGGTCTCTAATTTATAGAATTCCTCATTCATTTCCATTGCTTCTACAATTCAAACAAACAAATTTTACAGTATGAGTTCAAATTTTCAACATATAGGTGGTAACAATGTTTAAATCTTTAGAAAAACATAATCTAAAGAATATATTTCCTATCATGCTTTACTGCCATCAAGGGTCGGGTGGGTGGGCTCTAGTCCTCTTTTTTAAACATGGCAACCACCACCGTTTATCTCCAAATAACATTACAGTACTATGCTGACCATGACAGCCCTACACCATGCAGGGCCTTAAGGGACTCAGAATGAATCCCAAGGTCCCTGCCACCAAGGAATTGTTTAACTACCTCAGTGACATCACACCCAGGGATGGACCTGTCATCCTCATTGTGTCCAGACTCTACAGAAGGTTTAATGAGATCCTAAAAGTATTCCTCCCACCTGAATATATCCTTAATTGATGTCAACAGCACCCCTACTGTACTATACTATACTTTTTTCCCTCTTGAGTTGCTAGACAGTTTATCAGAATTGTTTCAGGGCTGTCCAAAGGTGTTGTTCAATGGCTTGACCAAACTCTCCTAAATCCAAGTAATTTTCACAAGCTACTGTCAGAGCCACACTCTGCTTGGCACTGCTGGTACCTGTCAGCTGCATCCGGAGTACCACAGATTTACAATGTCCCACCACCACCACCACCTTCACCTCTGGTGTCCACCATCCAGGGAATACCACAGCCATCAACTACTTGGAGCCACAGCTCTGTACAGTATGTTCTGTGCACCTGAACATATAAGGAGCCCTCCACCACAATAAGGTGGCAGTTCATGGAGAGACTTGAAAAGGAACCAGTTAGGATAGTTGGGCATCTGATTGGGATGTCTCCTGGGCTAGGTGCTCTGAACCTGTCCTAGAGGGAGGAGACATTGGGGTGGATGCACGACACGCCTAAGAGATTATGTCTCTTGGAAAGCTGAAAAAGCTTGGCCTTGGAAAGCTCTGATGTTCCCCCAGATGAGCAGGAGGATGAGCATCTTTATCTTAAATCATTTTTACTTTTATTAGATGTACTTAATCGGTGGCTTACAGTGCCACCCCACAAGTTCAACCTATTTCTGCATGGGTTTATGTCAGATACTTCAGCTTCCTCCAGCAGGCTGAAAATATGCAAGTTGAGTTAAATGTTGATTCTAAGCTGTGTTAGCTCTTGTGTAATAACCAGAAGTAGGCTGGGAAAATCTCCACCGCCCATGACTTTTGGATAGTGTGACAACCCACTCCATCTTGCCTTTTTGTTGGCCTGTTTGTGTATGTTTTGTGCCTTGTTTGCAGGTATTGGGGGGTGAAGACAGCCATTTCCAATTAGTGACAATGGCAACACCTGGGCCTAGCATGCCAGAGCTCTATAAAAGCCACCTGAGCTCAGTCACCAACATGTTCTCATTCCAAAACATAATATACCGACGCTATGGGATAAATCATCGGTATGTTAAGTTTTGGCTACCCAACATGTCTTCCAAAACATGAGAACCATTTGGAATGAATTTACAGATGTATATTATTTTTACTCTCTTATTACGAATCACATTGGAAAACACTATTTGACACAATTAAGGTTGTGGTTAAGATTAGGGTTAAGGCTATGGTTAGGGTTAGGGGTAAGGTTATTGTTAGGGCTGGAGACACAGCAGAAGTATGTTACCGTCAGGAGCGTCTTATATGGGATTCCATCCACAATCTGGAGGGTATCATAGGGATGCGGAAGGTTACCTTTCCCGTTACTATGAGACATCTCGGGACATTACAAAACAGCGGTATGTTATGCGTTGGGAGCGAGAACGGTCTATAGTCACAGTGTGGTGCTTTCACTGAGATACAGTACCTTGAAGATTTTTGTTGTGTTTGGCTTGGGTCAGCACTAAACAATGTTATTCTCCCCATGCCCAAATCTACACCACTGCTTGTACTGACCACAAAATCCATGGTTTTTGTAAGACTTCTGTTTCATTGCTTCATTTAAAATAAATAGTTTTTTGAATGATACCATGTTGCCTGGTCTGTGACAACAGGCAGAAAAGGTGCTTAATGTGGGTTAGCTGAGCAAAACAAAAAACAAAAAAAAGCTGAAACCAGTTTCAACCGGATAAGCTGTGGAAGATTTTTTCTTTCTTTTTTATTTGTCTCACCACATTTCAGTGGTTAAAGCAGAGAGAAGCTTGCAGATTCAGGGTAAA